CAGCCTCAGACCCAGCAGGTTTCCTCACTGTGCTGCTGAGGCAGAGCCAAACTTTGAGCAAGGGACTAAAAAGCACCTCTGAAACAAAGATGTTTCTCATCTTTGCATGACAGAAGCAGTGAGAGCAGCCCAGGAGAGGGGGTGCACGAATTCCTGACAAGGCGCCAGTCTGACAGCATCCTGATGGACAGCCGCTACCACCAGCACATGGTGCTGCTGGACTTCCTGGGAGCCATTCTGCAGAATCAGAGGTAGGTGGGAATCAGCTTGTTATCTGCTCACTGCAGGAGCAGGACACGGTCCTTACTGCTGTCTGGCTTCCAGATACAAAGCTATTGGATTGAGTCTCATCTTTCAGGTACACTAAGGGAAAGAATAAAGCTCTCACCTGAGCCCATAAGCCAGCCCATCCCTTATGTGGGCAAGTAGGGTGCAGATAGGAACAGCCTGCACCACATCACTGTGCTGTCTTCTCAACCCCGTATTCCACTAAAATACCAGTGGAAAGATGAAGAATTTCTCCCTCAATCCCAATTCTACCTTCACTGTCCTATTCTCTTCTTTCACAGGCCTCAGGACATCTCCAGCAGTCGGTTAGAAGGCCTTCCCAGCACCCTGGCTAAGCTCATGTAAATATTTCTCCCTTTTTCATCTCCCCATGCTCTGGTGAGTACCGTTCCCTGCTCTGTTCTGTACATACTACACTGCTTAAGCTGTTTAAAGGCCTTCCTTCAGAGACATCAACTCCCACTGCTGCCCATAAAAAAAGGTGCTTGCTGCAATTTAAGGGGAAAAAACTTCCACTCAATTTTGTCAAGTACCTTAAGTCCTGTTAGTCTGAACAGACAGACCACGAGTGTTGTGAAGCTGCATGTAGATGTGTGGTAACAGGCTTGCAGCCTTGTAAAGCTATCTGAGCCTCTGTGCCCAAGTGTTTAAGCTGGCTAAAGGCAGACAAAAGTCTTCCCCCAGGAGCAGACTCTGCCTCTAGGTCCCTGGGACATTTCAGGTTTTCCCTGCACTGAACAGGAAAGGAACTCTTACGGTTTTCTGTACCCCTCATGCCTGAAAGTCATCACCTGAACTTGAATTACACTCTAAATCCTGCCAGCCCTGTGGGGGCTGAGAACTGGTAGACAGTCCAACCTTGGGAAAACCTTCACTTGTACAAACATCAGTTGTTCTGATTGAAGTAACCTCATCTTACTCCTCTCTCCCATAGATATTAAGCCTGCCCAACCAACAATACAAAGGGGCATGGAGAGACTTGTGTGCATACTGAAGAAAAAGGGGGCTGGGGGATGGAAATTGTGCCTATGGTTTCAGCTGGGAGAACATGGCCTGTCAGCATCTCTCTTGTGATACTTCACTTGGTTACCTTTCCACAAATAAGTTCAAAAAAGCCTCCAAAGAATGAAGAGACTTCTGTGTGTGCTCCAAAGTTTCCTCATAATTCTCTTTTCCTCCTACTTCTGTCTAGAGTACCTCAGAGCTCATGGACATGACTGTACAGTAACCTCCACAGCAATGAAGACATTCCCAGGTGTGAGCAGCTGGAAACTGATGCTCCTCAGATCTGTTCAAAGGAATGCAGTTCTGATGCACTTCTTCATTTACTCCAGTCTCTAGAGTCTCACTGCCCTCTAAATACCGGTCTGCGTACTGAATCAGACAAAAAACCCACCTCCATGGTTTAACCTTGGGCTGCTTTACATACAAAACCTAAACCAACCAGTACACTTGTGATCCTGGGGACTTGTGATCAGGCTGTCTACTGATTAAGGCTTTCAAATCATAAAGCATAGCAAAATTTCTGCCAAGTCATCATTCTGTTTGAGGGCCTGATTCATAAGCATGAAGCCACCCAAAGGCCCCTTTAGGCAACTTTGCACATTGATTACAGCCTCCTCTAGATAGATGCTGATGGCACAACCACACACAGAGCTTGGATCAGGGGGAGGCAAGACATGAATCCACATGTCTATCACCCATTAGAAACACTGCTGTAGGCTGCTGCTGTCTGGCTCCTTGGCAGAAAAACCAAACTCTAAAAAGCTCAGCTTAAAGTTCCTGCTCAGCCTTGAGGTGTTCAAACTGAAGCTACAGCTCTGCAAGAGTTAAAGGAGATCCCTGTGCATCAAGATTGGGCTGTCACTGTTTCAATTCAATGTGCCAGCCAGTGGCTCTGAACACTGTGGGAAGTTACAACTGTAAATGTTTATTATCCCACTGCTCTCATGCAGCTCTTTCCTTCCCTGTCACCCCAATTCTGTTGTTTGTGTAATAATTATGTCTTCATACATGTAAATAACATCAGGATGGGGGCTGCTTTCCCCCCATTAGCAAGAAATAGAAGTTGTTCTAAATAAACCTGTCCAACAGCAGGTCAAGATGCCTCTTTGTCTGTTGAGATCTTAGTTTCTTGGTTCTGAGCCCAGAATGGAAGATGTCACTCAAAGACAAGTGCAATGAGGATGACTTGGAGATGTGCTAATGAAGGCACCAGGTACAACACCAGTAATTTAAACCAGGTTGGAAATAGTGGCATGCAAACATCTATTAAGCACCCAAACAATTCCTTGATAGTCTGAAGTAGAGACCAGCTCATTTTTCCTCCGTTGACTGTGTTTTAGGACAGGAAGCTTCAGTACACATGGAAATCAGCTCATACTTGCACCAAATCCCTACCACTTACTTACACTCTCCCTGTTGAGGTTGTACAATTCCAGCACTATGAAAGTATCACGAACTGCCCAGCAAGACTGGGAAGCAACAAGGGGATGCTGAGGGAGATCAGTGAAGCTGTGGCAGCAGCAAGAGCACCAGTGGGTAACCTGTCACCCCACCACAGGCAGGCAGCTGTCAGTGAGGCACGAGCCATCCTTCTGCTGCACATACAGCTGGACAGAGAGCCCGCCAAAGGAAAAACAACTCTAGCAAGACTGGTTCAGAACGTGGTTGTGAATGTGTTCAGGAACAGCTGACACACTTGAAGCCATTAGAACTTACTTGCTGCAGGGAAAGGAGTTATGAAAAATGAAGCAGCTTCCTAAAGCAGTAAATAAACATGGTAGCAACAAGTTAAAGTTCTGTTAAGTGGCAGAAAAGCTGTTTGCAAACACTGGATTGGATACTCCCAATAAAATCAAAACATCTATGAAAACCACTCTGAGAGATCCAAGTCTGTATGATAAATAACTGGGTGAGTGCAACTATTTAGATATAAAAGGTACTTATTTGAGTGTTCAGTGTGCATCAAAATGAGGAAACAAATGCTCAAACTCTGAGAGATTAAATACAAAAATAAAGCAAACCAGAAAATGTCTTGAAGAATAAAAGGCCAAAAGAATAAAAACCACCTTCCCTAACACAGCCAAGGAGGTCGAAAATCAATAGCAATACACACAGCCTAGAGAAGACACATCACATCTGTGCTCGCCTTGAGTAACATACCAGAGCTCTACAGGCGTAGGGAAGGGACTGTCCTAGCACCAAGCATCAGTGGAAAAGCTTAACAACAAAGTGGGCAGTAACAAAATATGAGGCTCAAAAATGCTCACTAGGGTGAAAAGGACTTCCACAGTCAAACACTGTAAGCAGTAGCTTAACTATTTCTTGCTTAAAAGTCCATCAGTCCCACAGGACTGGAATGGAGCATGAGATCAGGTTTTGAAGGAGTGAAGAAGAGTTCATTGAACCTCTATGGCATTCTTTGTAATGTTCACGATGAGCAAACGGGTAGGAACTATTACAAAGAACAGAAACAGTGAGTTAAGTGCGAACAACTGCAGCAGGGAAGAGCCAAGATGGCTTTTATAGAGCAGTCAGGCCTCACCCATCTGAAGTTCTTTGGAGGATTCAGCTCCACCCCCTATATCCACATGCCTGATGGTTGGTACAATTTTCTTGGATCTCCAAAAGACAGTTGATGAAGTTCCTTTGCCAAAAGGCCTTTAAAGAAACTAGTCTGACATGGGACAAAGAGGCAGGGAGGAAGCAATTGTCAAGTTTGCCACGTGGAAATTGCTCAACAGGAGATTTTGGGCTTTGGTTATCCCTATCAGCACGTCCTTCAACAAAGCCCAAGTGTGCTGCCTGAACACTCCTTAGTACTCTTAAAGGTAGTAATTTCCTGAGAAGTTAGAGCCTGAATAACTCAAACATGGCCACATGGCAACCAGCAGATTTCTGGCATTGTTTCACAGAAGAACAGACACAGTAACCTCAATCAAACTTGTATTTGGAGTGAAAAGGTTACTTCCAGGGCCTGGAAAGGAAGTGAACCTGCTCAAGGGATCCACCAAACCTGCCAGGGTCAGACATGGCCAGGCAGGCAGCACCACAGCTCCCGACACAGGCCAGGCCCCAGGGACTCCTGCCTGAGCCGCAGTGGCAATTCAGCACAGCCCAACACCATCCTGAAGCCACAGAGAAGAGCCATTAGTGGAGAAGTGCAGATGACAGCGTGACACAAGGGATGGGCAGGAGTGGGAAGTCCCCCCCAATAAACATGTCCCTCTGGGAAAGGACATGAAAGAACAGGAAGCTTCACACACAGCAATGACTCACACACAAAATTACCCATCAGAAAAATCTCTTTTCATTCTCATGTGAGCCCAATTTCCAATCCCAACCTCAGAGACAGCCAAAGAACAAACTTCAGGACCATTCTTTCCTCTTTATTCACAAATCTTTCAGGATGAGGAGAGACATGTGGGCTAAGGCAGAAATGTATTTTCTTTTTCCTCTTTTTCCTAAAGGAAATTCAAACGTCCTGGGAGAAAAAGGTGTCGGTAGGATCCAGGGAAGAGAGGATTTTCTGGATTCATATGAAAAGCTCTGAAGGAGCATGTACACAAAGATGAAAATCAGATGTTTAAAAAAAAAAAAAGTGTAACTGGCATCGTTTGACTTAATAAAAACCCAAAAACCCGCTTCTGCCTTCCTCCTTCTGGTCTTTCACTTATTTATTCACCTCTGCTCTGAAGGCATTTGCTTTGTTTTTCCACATTTCTTCCATTCTTCTGGGACTAGTGTGTCCTGGAAAGACAAATCCAAGAAAAATTAACTCTTCCAAAGGCAACAAAGCACTTCCTTGCACAGAGAAGTGTCCCCAGACCCCTCATTCACTCTCAAAGGAAGTGTTTCGGACCAGCCTCTCAAAGGAAGCTTACCAGAGTGATAAAACACCAGTACTGCAATGGAACAGAGGGCTGAATTCGAGGAGGATGGAAATGAAAATGAAGGGTAATCTCTGGTGCAAAAGAGATGAATGAGCCTTGGGAATTAGAGAACTGAACAAAAAAAGTCAGGCTGAATGCAAAGCCTGCAGGTACCTGAACTGCTTTTCTACTTCTATCAGGGCCAATCCACCTGCTTGGAATCAACCAGTCCATGTAAACACAAAATAAAGATCTTCAGATCCTCAAGAAGAGGTAGTAGTCTGATGTGGGCACAGCAGACCCACCTTTTACCTCCCAAGATGCCAGAGACAGGCATAGCTATGGATGCTGAGCACCTGACAGTCCAGCCCTAGAAGCGGGTAACAATACACTTTTAACTGACATGTCTGGGGCATCAGAAACCCCAGAAATAAGGAAAAATGCTTGTGACTGCACATGGCAGCAAAACCTAACTGATGGCTTGTGGATAATAAATTCTGTGCAAGATCTTCCAGGATTAATCACAGCCCATGGGGAATTAAGGAGTTAAAATACCATGTTGAGAGACAGAAAACATGCAAGCTGTGGAGAACAGAAGCGAGGCATTTGGTGACAGGCCACTGAGCAGCTGAAAGCCCAAAGCTATGGTAAAAGGAAGCATCCAGGGATAAGAACAGCACCAGCAAACAGCCAGGATGCAGCCAGCATTCATCTACTAGAACAAGTGACAGGCATCTCCAGTTCCTCTCCAGTTACTTGTCACAGCTTGTTCTGTGCTCAGGTACCTCAAAACACTCCAGGGAGAGAAGAGATAGTAGCAGGGTGTTTTTCTATGAGACATGATGCCAAATTCTCCTGAGGTAATTTTCATGAATCCATCTTCCATGCTTTCTGAGCTGCAGACAGGAGCTTACACCACAGTGCACATGGTTTCTGTGACACAGCCACCCACGATGGTTTTGTTTTACACCACAAAAACTGAGCTCTGTGTGTGCCTGGAGCACTAATGAACACAAGAAAGCAGATGCTCCTGAGATGTACCACTGCAGCACATCGTACAGCAATTTCAGTTTCATCACAGGACTTCCCCAGGTGCTCTCTCCCTTCCCCAAAATAAAATGGTGCAGTGACAGAGAAATGAAACCCCACATGCACATTCAGAACCAGGCAGCATGCAGAGCAGCAGGCAGTCCTGCCTCCTATACCACTGTGCATACAGCAAACTGGGACCTTACCTGCTCAGAATGAAAGGAAAAGGAAGGCTCTGTACTGGTGTATGGTAATGGAGACTTATCAGCTGGTTGTATTCAGAGGAGGGGGCTGACTGCTGCTGACCAAGTCATCATGACCAGTTCAGTGTAATGGGAGGGTGAGCCCTGGACTGGGTTGTGTTCTCAGCTGAATGAGGTGACCTGACTCTGCTGCACACAGAGATCATTGCCACCCCAATGAGGATGTAATTCAGCACTCAGAGTGCCTGGCAGCCGAGTACTGCAGATGGGGATAGTGAGTACCAACAGCAGGATGGGAACAGCCCAGGTATCAGCCACTTCCACCGTGTTCTCCTCCAGCCAGCATTACTAATAATTTATTTACAGGAACAATACTGCTTAAACCAGGTTTATTTCATCACCTGATAGCTGCTTGGTGCCCAGGACAGCATATTCAGATGTGCACATATTACCATACAGGATTCAGATGATCAAGGAAATCACACAAAGACAGTTTAGTCTCAGAGGACACATACTGCTAACATGCAAACCCAGCTGCAGCCAAGGACACCCAAGGACTGATTTAAAGCCCAATAAGCAATGTTGGAAGGAAGCAGCTTCAGCTCAGCTATCTTTTTGTACACAGAGTGAGTGATGAAGTGAAATGAAACAGGCAGCATGCCCAGGAAAGGCAAATTCCAAAAAAGGCCCTTACTTCTAGAAGAGCTGGTCACTAGCAAAACCCCCTTTTACCGCAGCGTTCTATACTTTGCCAACCTACTGCTCTGCTCTGCAGCGATCCTGCCAAAAGGAAAGAGGAAGAAAGGTTCAGAGAAGACAGGAAGGAGGAAAGCAGCCCTGCTCCAGGAACCAGAGCCAGTGACAGAATGCAAAAAGCAAAACCAGGCCTTCTGGTAACTTCTGTAAAAAGATGGTTTATACAGTCCCCTTCCCACACCCGCCAGTGGCGTCCATAGTGGAAGAGCAGCTTTGCCTCAAAGTGCCATGTAGTTAATTACCACTGCACTTCAACATCTGAGCCAGGCAAGCAGCACCTCACAAAAAGATGTCTTTTTGAACTTCAAAGTCATGTACAAAGGGTTTAACTTTAGCCTAAGGTAGAAGTTTTACTTTCAAATTTGCCATTGTAGTTGCAGCTTCATGTTGTTCACTGTGAAAAAGCACACGGACACCCCCTGCAGTGTTTTGAAGTAGGAACCAACCACCTGCATTTATGTGTTAACAGAAGCCCTGGTTGAGCAAAGACACTTAGAAGTAAGTTTCATTGTATTATTTCTCCCCAGACCTGTATCCTAGGCAATCTGTAATTAACAATGATTTTATCATTACTCTCTAAGTCACAACATAGCCCCATTGGCAACAACATCCCAGTAGGAACTGTCATACTAACAATGGGAAAATGCCACAGTGGACAGGGCTGGACATCCAAGGCAGCAAGGCTGAGCAAGCTGGGAGGATGGTATGGAAAGGGTTAATTACAGTAATCATCCTCCCTGCTGCAGCCATGCAAGTAGAGATGTTTTAAAGACAACAAATCATTGCAAAACCCCCAAAAGTCACATTCTTGTGTTTGTTGTTTTTTCTTGTAGCTCTTATCCTGCCTTTAATATGGTATAATCAAAAATGTGAGAACCCAGAGGTATCTATGCAAACAGGTATGCAAAGATAAACAACTCTTAGTGGCTCCAAAGGGGAAAGTAAGAAAAGCACAGGTTTGATGGCAAAGCAGGCCAGTAAGATCATCTTCAAAGCCAAACTCTGCATTAGTACAAAAGGGCTAAAACGTTAAGTCTCACATGGAAACCCCACGTGGCAGAAAGGAAGAAGAGGGAACAGTTTGACCGCTAATTAATGCGCTGTACTGGCAGCCTGGGTCAGCAAACTGCCCGCAGGCTGTGTAAGCCATGGCACATTCACCAGACACTGCATGGCAGAAGACTCAAGTGTGAAGAATCAGTCCAGTGCCAGCAGAGAAATGAATGCTGTAGCCCTGACATTTTCCAGAGTTTTGCTTGGGTGTTTTGCCCTTTGTTGCTGATAAGCATCTGCTTCCCTTCCTCTATAATCCCCCTGCAGGGAGGGGAAGACAGCAGTAAGATACCCCCGTCTTACCTTCCTCCTCCTAAAACTTATTTCACAAGCACATCTACAGAAGAGTTGGGCCTCTTCTGCATCAACAGTGGCTTTCATTATCTAACAATATTGTGAGAGCTTGTTAGGTCATGTAGCAAAATGAATTTGTCAGTGAATGGGTCTAGATGTGGGTTTCCCTTGCCAAAGTGCACATACTTCCACCCTGTGCTTACTCTGTGTGCCTGATCACTTCAGCAATGGCCCTGTGGACCATTCTCCCTAAAGGAGCTGTACCACAGTGACAGCACCTCGCTGCCCCAGTCAGTTCAAACCCATATTCTGAAAACAGGCACAAAGTGGGATCAAGCAGCACATCCCACACAAGATCCAGGAACCAAAAGCAGTGTTCATTGCTGTATCAGCTATTGACACATGGTAGCATCAATGTCATCTCCTTCCCACTGATTTTAGAAGCAGCTCCCAGCAACACATCCACCCCAGCTTACCGTTTTACTGCTTTCTGAGCCAGCATCCTGTTGCCTGCCAGGAATGTGACACCACCCAAGATGGCCAAGTACTTCAGAGTCTGGAACATGTTGAGCTGAGTCCAGTAGACATACATGAGTCCCAACATTGCTGTGAAAAAAACAGACAGAGCCCACGGCTGAAATTGCATTTCAAAGACCAACCATTCGTTATCCTCAGAACACTTGCTATGTTGTACTGCCAGGCTGAAGCATTTGGTTTCTGTCTCATCTCTGAAGTTCTGAAATGGCAGATCTGACACTACACATTTTTCCAGGGAAGGGAGGCATCTGGGACTCCATACTGGAGAAAAATGTGACACTGACAGCTTGCAGCCAACCTTCTTGTGGCAGAATTATGTGGATATTCGAGACATTAAAAGGAGAGGATACTCTGGATTTCAATAGATAATATTAACCTTTGTGTATCTGTAGGAACTTAGTTTTATAAAGCTTCCAAAGAAAATGGTTTGGATTAAACAACACACTGTGACTTGGGAAACAGCAGATCCAATGTTCTCTCAACCTGCTATGTTTTTGATATTCTACCAAGACAGTAAATACCTGTGCAACCAAGGGCACAATAAAACTGATGAAAAAAATTGGTCCAGCCAAAGAACAAGAACTTTCACAGAAAGAGCTTTAAAGAAAAGCTGTAGTCTTACACTGAGACAGCAGTGCTGCAGGCTTCAATCCCCACAGAAACTCCCTGTTACAAAGGATAAACACGCAATAAAGAAAGCATGATCTCTGGAAATAAGTTCTATTAAGTACAGATAAATGGTGTGAGAGAGGAGCCCGGATAATGACAGCTGCCACAAGCTGATGGCCAAAACAGGTTTATCACCATATTAACAATGATGAAAAGCAGGAAGGCAGATGAAAACAAGAGAACAAATGTTATGCTATTATGTCATTATAGTTAATAGACCACAAGCCCATTAACCACCAGGGCTTTCATCTGTAACTCCCAGGTGAGAAGGTCAAGCAAAGCAGAAAGCCTCCAACACTTACCGGCATGTCCCATGTGAAAAACAATGGTGCTGGGAGCAAAGCTGAAGTTGGAGATGTTGGCACCTATCTTTATCCACTAAAAGGAAAAGAAATACAACTTGAATTACAACAGCTCTGTAAACACAAGCTTTTACTTTAAAATTCAGTACCTTTCAAGCCTAAGTTCTTCATTTACTACAGTGTATTCTCTACAGAAGCACTTGTTTAGTACTACAAGAGCACAGAGCAGTAATTTTGCTAAAGAGAGCACTGTTAACAGCTCCTCGAGTGAAAATTTCTCCTGCTGTTTCTGAATGCCCAAATGCAGTTTCTCACTTAGGTTTCTTAAACTGATGAGAGGATGTTGCTCCAGATCTACATTTTTCAGAAAAAACAACATTGCTATTTCTAACCTGCTGAATTAATTTCAATCAAAAAGAAAAAAAAAGGCAAGGTTCTAGTTCTGCACTCAGCAAAAGAACAGCAAGAGATACAAAACGTTTGCTCATAAAACCCTTTTCAGTTTTTAGAGGACAAAAGAGAAAGGCATGAAGATGGGAAACAGGTGCAGTAGCAATGGGATTTTTCCCTGAAGTGTCACTGACGTGTATATTGTGAACTCCAGAGACCAATGGACACGACTACCTGAATGCCAGCTTTTGATGACACTGGGAATGGGAAATCACTGCCAAGCAAACAGGGATCAGTTTCATCCTCCAAATAAGGAACAGTTTAAGTTGCCTACATGAGATTCTGTATTGCATTAAGTGCAAACCACTGATCTGACACTACAGTGAGTAGCAGTAGATGTTTCAACTACAGACACACAAATATTCATTCTGTCCATAAATAGGAATCCATCTGATAGGATTAAGTAACACACATTTGGTGATGGATATATTAAGCACAAGGCAGAATCACTGCTTTTTTCCTGTGTAAGTCTAATATTAGTTATAATTTAATCTGCCCACTGTTATTCAACATCCCGAGCAGAAGCACACTGGAGAAACTCACCCCACGTACTTCTACTCGACAGCAGCTTTTTTCTGCTTTGACTATAAACTCAAAGAACCACCCCCACCCCCAACAGTTTTGGAAAGAGACAATACCAGACCAACACTGCACTGCCAGTGTGAGCTGTGACTCCAGCACTGCTGTGCTAGTCATGATTAACCAAGAGTTTTAATAAGGAGTTTAGCTGGTCAACCTCCTGAGTGACTTTGGACTGGATGGGAAAAGATGGTGTTCTTCTGTGGCCTACTTCACTCACCAGAATGAGCAGCAAAAGCAGTGGGGACAGAATCAATGCTGTGAAAGTGTTCGATACCACGGTGGGAGGCCTCTTCTCAGGCTCCCTGAAGAGGTGCTGTAAACAAACAAAACCAACTCATAAGCAGGAGTATTCCAACAGAGCAGCTTCTCGGCTCCCCAGAGCTTCAGCTGCTGTTCCCAGATGTTCCCTTTGGATGAGAAGCATTCCTCTTAAGGCAAAGTGACTTTAAATTAGTGTTTATTCCAGCCTCTGCACATTTAATTTCTGGCACAGTTCACTTTTCTTTGCACTCACAGAAGCACTTGTTAGCTTGTCATCAGCACAGACGGCTGGAATGAAGCAAGAGATATCTTCAGAAGCAGACAGCTTCTTACTTAGTCAAATTTACAGGTTTGAGTCTTTTCAGTACCCTCACAGGTGGGCACAGAGCCTAGTTATTCATACGCCAGAGGAATGCAACACATTTCCTTCCATAAAGCAGTAACTCTGCTCTTCCTTTATTTACATCATTTACACAGGGTAAGACATGACTTTTCAAAAATAAATTACAATGAGAACAAATAATCCCAGTAAAGAGGCCCCCATCCCCACACATTGGTTTTGGCTTTAACTGTACCTGGATTTCAGGTTTGGGAACAAAGAGGTTCTTAGACTGGACTGTGGATGGTGCATCCTCTTCTGGGAATGTGATCACAACATCAGCCTGAAATGAAATCGTGCAGCTTCATGAAGTTTGATCTTAATGTAATACAAGTTTTATAAATCCTCTACCATTACTGTGGCCTATTTCATTATTTGTCAATCTCCAATTCACATGATTTTTTAAAGGAATTTAAGAAAAAGCCACCAGATTTTTTAAAAAGCAGTTTCTCCTAAACAGAGGCAGCAACAGAATTTACCCATCTCTAAGAACTGGACTCATTTCTAGCATAAAAGGCTAAACCTTCAAGTGCTTGTTGTGAAATTACCAAACCCATAAACATTCTGAAGCTTCTGTTCCACCATGAATGAATGTATGTTTATTTCCCGCTTGCTTTGATGCTTACTTAAAAACTTAAAACGAACAGCAAACCTCGGAGCCCATAAATGGCTAAAAGGATTCTGGTTCACTACAAAGAACAAAATATATTCGAGGTTTTTTCCTTGCAGGCCTGTACCATGCCCTCCTCTTAAGACTGCCACTAATCTCAAATTCACATGGCTACATTTCCAGCTACATACCACATTCCACAGGATTGGATTTTCCAGCGTGGCATCTCCAATTATCAAGTAAAGAGTGTAGGTACCAGAGGCAGAGTCGAATTCAGTCTTTCTTTCAGAGGTATCCAGTTCAAACTTGTAAACGTTCTTGCTATCTGGTTCTGCCACAAACACCACCTCCTGGCCAGTCTTTTGGTTGTGAAGTCGGACAAAAGTCTGAAAGGAAAGATTGTAACGTTTATGGAATATCTCATAGTGTTTACAAATGACAGAGAAATGAGAGATTCACCCCCAAATCAAAAAAGCACATTAACAGAAGTCAGAGTATAAACTGGAGTCCAGGTGTCTGCAAAGCAGCAAAGTTCTACGTCTCTTTGAGTCACAACATTAACACAGGCCCAGACTGGCCAGTGGCCCACTTGGGGTAGAGGGTAAAATACTGAGTGTTACTCCACAGGATATATGCAACAGCACACAACAGGGATGTAGGCACAGATGGGTTTTGTTGGAGTCTTCCCCCTCCCTTTTTTTCTATTTTATACACAAAAAATACAATTTTAAAGGAAGTCTGTGTTCAGTGACTTTTCCAGCAAACAATCTGTATTTAAATAATCAGAAGTGTGCTTTTACAGTGCAGGCTACCTGCACTCATGTTGTTGAGTTAAATAAGACACAGCACCAGAGCCAAAAGAGGCATCATTTAACAGACAGCCAAACCAAATCCACTTCCCACCTACCATCACCAGTGATCTTTCACAATCCATGTCAGAAACACAAGGCTTCTCCAAACCTATCAAATCTTTTCAAGAGCAACTGTCACCTCAGATGCTTCAAGATGGAACATCTCAGTGACACAGCAATGACAAAAGCTTCTCCTAACCTGGTGAGGGATGAGTTCAGCTCCGCTGTTCACGTCCATCAGCTGGAAGGATAAAGCAAAATTCTGGTGGCTGTCAGCAGTGAATGAGCCCTTGGCTTTGGCTGGGTAAGCTACCCTAGGAGGGAAGAAACCAAAGAGAATTGAGGTGATCTTCCAGGAAAATCCTTGGTCTTCTAAGAACCTGAGGCATGCAAGCTTGCCTGGCAGTACTGCAGTCTACTCAGCACAGATAAGCTATTTTATCAAGTCAGGTGAACTAACAGGTCTTTCTCTTCCACCATAAATTTAATAAAAATAAATGAGTGGAATTTATTTAGTAGGGTTTTTGAGAGCTCCATACCTTGCCCATTTTCAATTAAACTGGCTGTTTATTGTAAGGTTCAAAGGAACACCAGAAGAAGGTTTTGCTCATCCTGCACCCCCCTTTCATTTACCTGAGGCTATGCCATGACCAAAGGTGTCATGGCAGCAGAACAGAAAATAGACACTCAAACTTCAGCACAGAGAAGGGCCTCAGTGAGGCTGTGCAGCCAAGTTAAATTCTATACATTACATTCTGATGCCAGTTAAAAACTGATTACATTAAATATACCTAGCAATGGTACAGCCACGGCCCCCATACACAGTGTACATGTTGCTTTAGAGCATCTCTATCAAATCCCAATAATACCAGAACCATTAACACAATTCTTTTACTTTACTTTTGCTATGGGAAAGTACCAACAAAGGAAGAGAAGACTCAGGTTGCCTGGCTTCTGTCAGTACTTAATTCAGTATTAAGGAAAAAAAACACCTATAATCAGCATTCTCCTCATGAACCCACAGGTATAAGAGAAATAGCACATGTATAACTCTAGTTATTCCAATACGAGATTCCTCTGGTTTAGCTGGAGTAGGTAAAGCTCAGAAGACCGCCAAGTCTAGAGCCACAGCTGCCCCGCAAATGATCACACACCTCAAGTCACATTACCTGGTTGTTTTTGGTGCAATGCTCTGATCTTTATCCACGGTAGAAAGATCCACATTAGTAATCCCAACTTCTGTGGAAACTTTTACTTTCAGCTGCAACAAAACACAACAGAAATTACTCAGAACACTCTACGCATACAAATTATGGTCAAGTTCACTGCAGAAGCTTTAGCTCTTCTGTCCTCTTCCCCAGAGAGGGTCTTACATGAAGCCAAAAGACAGAACCTAATCAGAACAGAAGGATTTACAGCAATTCTCTCAAACGTAAGCAGTTACAGCAGTCTGTAGGTTTTAATGAGCACATTTGTTCTCACAGCTTACAAATGCTCCCCTGGAGAACTCGGGTTTCGTTGCCAAGATATTTTTCACCATAAACTACAATTTGTTACTACAGGTTTGCTCATGTGAACCCGCCCCATGCCCTCACCCTGAAAAATAATTCACAGGGAACTTGTGGGAAAAGTATGTAAAAACAAGAACGAAAACATTCAGGCCAGACTTCAAACACAACAATCTTGGTGGTTCCTTTACAGCAAAATGTGTCATTTAAGATAGAGGTTATCCCTGAAAATGCATCCATTAACAGATGGACTATTGAGGCTAATGTTAATAAAGCCTTAGTTTGTTCCAAGATGGGAGCAAAGAAAGATGGACTAATGAAATATTAATGTTAGAAAACGTACGTGAAGGCAACTCCGAGCTGCTGCACACAGCCCCTCCAGCTGAACACTACACAAACATCTCACAAATATTTTAATGCCAGGAAATGTGGTCTCTGCTGGAGTAATAACCCACTGGTTTAGCTCATTACTGTCAAAGCGATGGTGCATTAAGGACAATTAATGCTAATAACAGTAAGGAAAAAAAGCAGCTCCCCAGCAGCCCTCCCCCGTACCAATGTGTCTTATTAGAAGCAGTTCCCACAGAGCTGCCCCGGTGTTAATACATTCCTACTGGGACCTGGGGAGGAATGTGTGCCAGCAGCCAGCTTCAGCAGGGCCAATCAGTTCCCTTCTGACACTCCTAAGTGCCATTACTACTACACTGACAACATCAATTTGATACACAGAGTAAAGGTCAGCAGTTGTAAGTAAGCATCTTCCTCCACTCCAAGCTGGCTGTGTTGGAAGATTTTAACAGCTTATCTTCTCCTTGAACAGGTGACTGAGGACAAAAACTACCCTGGCAATAGACAACCCTGGAGAAGAGAATGCTCAGCTGTTGGTACTGGGGCAACTATATGAATAGTTACTGATGTCACGTTCTTCTCACTGTAACAAACTTGAGGAAAGTAAAACCCTGAGTGTTTATATAAACTCTTCTTCAGAAAGGTGTGCTGTAACAGCCTTTGCCATCAAAAAAGGGACATCTATGCATGAAATGAAGATTTCATTAGCATTTTGCTTTGGACACTTTCTCCACTACCAAAGCATCCCCATGTACACAGTTAGGAGATGCCAAAAGACTTCCTTGACTCTTTTCTAGTGCTCTAGAGCTTATACAGGTGAACAACAAATGCTCAGCTTCTGTACACTGGGAATCACCAGACAACTGCTAGGCAAGCCTTGAGATTTACAGACTCAGATCTTGGATGCTCTGAAGAACTAACATTCTCAGTAATGGTTTTTGCATGGCTACTCTGGGCTGCTCTATAAACACTTCCACTGCTAGCCTTTGTTCATACACTGTCAGATCAGCATCTAAGTGGTAAGTCAGGTTTGGAATTTATACAAATCTCTTTTGATCATGTATTAATCTGGTTACTGGTCATAATCCAATCAAAATCCAGTCCATTACAGAAAAAGCATGTGATAAAAATGCCATGCAAGCCATGCAACTGGCAACACCCTTACTGGGTATAAATAAAAAGCTGTTTCAGTGAATAGGCACAGAATTAAAATGCCATCAAAAAGCATACCCACCTCAACCTTGTTAGCAATAAATCGTTTATCTCCATCGACACTGATAGAGAAATCATAATATCCACTTGCAGGTTTCACATTCATGAAGTTCAGCTCAAAGACATCTCTATAACAAAAGAGGCAAGGTGTTAAGTACCCTGTAGGACACTAAAGAGGCAACAGCTTCCCACTAAGAAGTCTCCAAATATGCCAAATTAAGCAGGCAAAAAGAGAAGCGCAGCAAAAAACTAACACCACTAAGTGCAGTGGAAAAAGAATTCTTCAAAGTTCCCCTGAGGTCAGAAGAACATTGCAATTTCCCACTCCCAATCAGAAGAAAAAGCAACAGAAATTCACCATCACTACCAAACGTGCTTAGTCACCCGTTACCAACAAGACACAACTACAGTATTCCAAGTTTTCCATCACACAAACATTTCTCTGGTGGAAGAACACGTGAGGAAAACAAGTCCAATGCTGTTTGAACACCTGTCTGCCTTACAAACTGTAAATATAAGATTATTTTCTTACCCTGACAGAGCAAATGCTGTCTGTTGAAGGACAGTGGCTTTGCTAGATGCAGACTTGGCGTACTCGAGTTTTACAGAAGCTTGAGTCAGTGGCTGGGACATAACATCAGTCACTTGTAGCTACAAGAGAAAACCAAGCACTTCCATTAAACCTGTTGCCCCAGAAGGAAAGCAGAGCACAGACAACTCCCTACCCCCCTGTGTTATACACTCAGAATTCTTACCTGCCCAGCATTCCAGATTCACCTAGTTCTTTCTAACATAATGGGAAAGCTGGAGTTTGAAATCAGCAGAGCTGACTTCACACAGTGCCTTCTCCACATAGTGGCTGCTAAGCTTTGAGTAAGCAGAGGCTCATAAGAATCACTTCGTAAAAGCACTACAGCCCCAGATCTGGAACCATAGGCCTGGAGCTAAAAAAATGAAGGACATCGCCTCCCACATTCAGTCAGCTTATTCCTACAGTACTAAAGACTGACCCAAGAGATGAGTTAAGACTTGAGGTTAAGGACTCACCCTGAGTACAGGCTGATGGTGAGACACAGCTGCAGGCCCATCAGGGATGACAATGACAGGCAAGTGGTAGCGGTTCCGAGATAAGGAACCTGCAGCACAAGCAACACTGAAAGCCTCCGAGAGGGTCTCAAAGTTCTTCTTGCTAAAAATTGCATTCATCAGCTGGATGATTTGATCCTGAAGGAGAAAAAGCAAATTACATACAAGCATCAGCAATTTACCATTTGTGCTGGTTTTGGCTGAGGTAATTTTCATTATAGCAGCCAGTATAGATTTGTGTTTTGGATTTGTGCTGGAAACAGTGTTGATCACACAGGGATGTTGTTACTGCTGAGCAGTGCTTACACACAGCCGAATCCTTTTCTGCTCCTCACCCCCCCAGCAAGGAGGCTGGGGGTGCACAAGGAGTTGGGGGGGATACAGCCAGGACAGCTGACCCCAACCGACCCAAGAGATATTCCACACCATACGGGGTCATGGTCAGCATATAAAGCTGGGAGAAGTAAAAGGAAAGGGGAGACATTAAGAGTGATGGCATTTGTCTTCCCAAGTCACCATTACACATGATGGAGCCCTGCTCTCCTGGACACGGCTGAACACCTGCCCGTGGTGAATTAATTCCTTGGTTTGGTTTGCTTTGCTTGTGTTTGGAGCTTTTGCTTTACCTTTTAAACTGTTTTCATCTCAACCCACGAGTTTTTTCACTTTTACTCTTCTGATTCTCTTCCCATTGCACCATGGGGACAGTGAATGTGTGGCTGTATGGGGCTCAGTTGCCAAGTGGGGTGAAACCATCACACCACAACATTGCAAAGTGGCTCAGTGTAATGTTATTAATAAAAATATCATTCATAAAGACTGTTTAATTTCCCACTTGCTTAAAAAATAGCTCAAATTATGAAGGCAACCCAAACTAGCTTCCTTTTGAGTATCACATTAGCATTCTTATTCTTGGCTGGGAGCTTCCAACCACACTCACTGTAATTGTGCTAAAAACTTGCAACACCAGAATGTGGATCTATCTCTTCAAACTACATGTTTCAGAATGGAAGATACCATCAGCTCAACTATCCAGACCATGTGCAGCAGCAAAAAGACAATCTGGCTCCGGGAGCTGCACAATTGCCTTTGTACAGTGGAGAAGGTCCTTGCTACCTGCCAAGCTGGGAAGGCCAAGGAGCAGTGATACAATGCATCCCAATGGCTCTGGAAGGAGCCAATGCAGGCCCGTGCAGGCTTATCCCCTTAGGCTCAGCAGCATCCTCAAGCTAAGAGGAGTCGCTTTAAAGCAGTACTACCAAGAGCACAGAGACAGCTCTGGCTCTGGGATGTGCCAAAGTTGATTTGTTCTCTCTGAAGTAGGAGTGGGACTACATCCCCCAGCTGGTTTTGCAGTGCAGATTTGGAAGGTTAGTGCATCTGTGCCACACTGCCCAGGGTATCCCATATTATTCAGATTCTTCCATCACTCCTTGCTAGTCTGGAAAACAGAGGGATTGGTTACCTGTACTTTGATCCAAGCAAAGAACTGTGGGCTAAATTCTAATCAGAAATGAGAATAAAGAAGAAAATAAAGCAATAGGCATACACTTAGTAACCTACAAAGAATGCTTTGAAATCCACTCTCAAATTTTCACTTACCTACTTGTATTAATGAGCACCAATGTACATCACAACTAGAGAAAGCACCCAGACACATGCTACAAGCCTGCATAGTGCAAATCCTGCTGTTTTTCATTTATATGAGGGCACAGCATAGCTCCAGACCCTGATCAGCAACTGACACACATTTAAATTGGGGGCGAGGGGGAACTATTTTTTCCAAATGCTACACATCAATTTTTAAAGAGTTTTGTGGCATTCTGGAGGCACTCTCACCATTCACAAGAGAGAAAGCTTTAAGCCCCAACAATAGCATTTCTGGCAGCACAATTCCGACACAACACTAAATTTTCCTTAATTGGTCTTTCTTTAATCATCAATTGGACACTGACAGTTTGAATTCTGTGTAGCAGAATCACCACCTCAAAAATGACATCAAAATGACTTTGCATTAGTCTGTTTGGCAGAAGCATGGAAAGGAGCCAAGAATGAACTCAGATGTCTTATGCCGGGTTCTATCTCAACGCTGCCACTTTGGCTTGTGCTTTAGGGAGCTGCCATTCTCCACCACAACTATAGCTAAACCCAGTTAACTTGTGGGGGAAAAAAATTCACTACATGGATAGCTTGCAGTAATAATATCTGGATTTATTAAGCTCAAAAGGAATTTCTGACAGACTTGCATTTTAGACAAGTTTTTGCACCTGGTTTCTTGTTAGTGTATGGTACTAATGCTGTCTTCCTTTTGGGCACCCCAAACTAGGTTGCCTGCATTTCCTCACAAGTAAATAACATTTATAATGCACTTTGCAGTGCTGGAGAGTGCTACATAAGTGCCAAATACCAGAACAAACTCCAAAACAAGATGGTTTTTTTAACAGCTTGTCTCAACAAACAAAAGAAAAACTAGGCCTCACTTGCAATTTTCTTGTGTATATTTGAGAAACAAACCAAATTCAGGCTGTGATCTTGAAGGTAGAATTTCCTCCTGGATTCTGTTCTTTAGCATTCCCTCTCAGATGCCCCTTTTCACTGCGTGTGCTCATTATTTTTAACCCAGTAGAAATTCTACCCAGTTATAGTGGCCTCTTAGCATGACAAAGACTAGCCAGATCTTTTTTGAGAGCTACAGTGTGCAAGGGAGGAAAAGGCAAATACAAACCTCCTTCATTGCTGGCTCCGTACCCACATGGTCCGACAGTTTATAGGCAGCAGCCACAAACAGTGCAGTAGTCTCAATTCCCTCTTCAAACTGCAGATAAACTCCACCCAAGTCATCCAGGCGAGCAACAAGATCCTGACAGAAAGAGTTATTAAAGTTTAAATTGCATTCTAGTAGATCCACAGAAGTTAACTCTACTGTTAGACCAGCAATCAAGAGTATCTGCATGGGATCAGTGACCTTTTTTGTAACAGTCATTTAGAAAAAGAATTCAGTATTCAGTGGATTTAATTGTACTTAAAAGTCATGACTTTCTGTGTTTCAGTCCGCTGTGAAACAGTTAGAAGTCCAGAAGAAATATCTGCTTGAAAGAGCCAAGCCAACCCACATGATGAAGGCAAGGAATTATCAAGGTTGGTTTTCATTTTGTATTTCACATTAGTATCTCTTTTAGTACTACAGAGGTCTAAAATTCCTGGATAATTAGAGAGCACAGCGTGTTCCTACCTCTATCTCCTCAACAATGCCACTTAGATCTGCCTGTTGGGACAAGTAAGATGCCGTCTCCAAAGCCTGGATGGTTCTTAAACAAGAACAAACAAAACCAAATAATTGTATGATTTTTTCCTTCCTTCAAAGCCAAACATCATTTAAGTCAAAGCAACTACAGTTTATATTCTGAGTGAAGTGTAAAACAGCTGTTACTGCATTCGACTTAAGACAATGAAGCTGAAGTGATTTAGTGGGAACTCAGAATTCATTACAGAATGCCACTTCAGATGCATCAGTGCTGCAATAAACTCACAGGTTCAAAGGAAGAGAAGAAACCAAACTTTGATACCTGCACAGCACAACTTCCCCAATGTGCTACTAAGGCTTCCAAGAATCCTTTATTTTTCTTCCCCAATCAACACCGCAAGTTTTAAATATTCCCTTTCTTCACCAACTTTTAAGGAAGGCTCTATTGTCTCATATCACAGTAAAATTACTTAGTTCTAAGACTTCTCCTGCTTACTGTCATGTTTTTTCACCTCCCAGTCTAAATGTACAAACAACAGAGCTGAGGAACAGCATCAAGTCTACTGCAATCATAAATGACACAGAACCATGGCTGGGTGTTAAGCCAAAGATCTGCTGTGAATCTTTTTAAAAGAGGAGGCCTCTTTGAGATATGCCATCTTCAGTGAGCACTACTCCTGAATGCAGGAAACAGACCCAAAAAGAATTTTTCATGCCCCCAGAGGAACAAATATGAGCTGAACAAATCACAGAATCACAGATTGATTTGGGTTGGAAGGGACCTTAAAACTCATCTAGTTCCAACCCCACTGCCACGGGCAGGGACACCTTCCACTAGACCAGGTTGCTTCAAGCCCCTGTGTCCAACCTGGCCTTGAACACTGTAAGGGCTGGAGCAGCCACAGCTTCTCTGGGCACCCTGTGCCAGTGCCTCAGCACGCTCATAGTAAAGAATTTCTTCGTAATGGTTAATACAAATCTCCCCTCTTCCAGTTTAAAACTACTCTCCCTTGTCCTGTCACTACATGCCCCTTGTAAAAAGTCCAGATTTCTTGTGGACCCGTTTTAGTTACCGGAAGCCTGTTACAAGGCCTCCCTGGAGCCTTCTCCTCCCCAGGCTGAACAAACCCAGCTCTCTCAGTTTGTCTTCATAGAAGAGGTGCATCAAATGAAAGCACAGCACCTACTCTACTACGCCCATATTACAAAAATTAAGTGTTAAAATACCCTTTACTCTAAACCCCAAGTGCCTAGAGGATAAACATGCAACAGTGAATTATTTCCAACTGAAAGACTTACGCCAGCACATTTTCCTCTTTGCTAAGACGAGCAGTAAGAGCACTAAGTGCTTCTTGAGATGCTAAAGGAAGGCCAAAGCCACTCAGGGCCCCAACGGCGTGGAAGATCTGGGTGACTGAGGAATCCTCACTGACAGCTGCAAGCAGCAGCTCCCTGGTCTCATTTGAAATGGTAACCTGAGGAAAAACACAGGGAACACATTGATCCACACTTGAAAAACCACGGCCTTCTATTCACCACTGATTACTTCCTGGAGCAATACACTTCATTGGTGAACTCCTGGAAGCTTTTGGGATAAAGCCCTTTATCTTTTATTAGTTTCATTAATTAAATCCCAAAGTTTTGCTGTCAACAAGTCAGGATAATCTAAGATTCAGATTTATCTTGGTAATCTGCTACTGCTTTTCACCTGGTATCACATCCTTGTGCAGCAGCAGTACTGCTAAAAAATGGGGCTTGGATAAACCACCCACAATCCAGCAAGGGTGGCCTGCATTTGTATCCTCACTGTGGTTCAACACAGGGTTTACATCCAAACAGTTTCTCATCTACCTAAAGAATTTTTAATTGATGCTGTGAATTCTATTAGAATGTGCTGGCTCCTTTTTTCTCAGCCACCAATATTTAATCAAGTTACATCCCCTCGGAATTACTATGAACTAAGTATTTGCTTTGTATTTTTACACTCTGCCTTGTAGAGGGTGCTCCCAGACACTTCCTAAAACACAACTGAGTACAACTCACTAAAAGAAAGTAAAAGTTGAAGTTATGCATAAAATAAACCAAAAAAAAATATCAAGGCAAATATTTCACTGGTAACATCTGCCTTCAGGGCTCCAAACCCACCTCACAGCCAGCCAGGACCCGAATGGATTGTGCAGCATAGAAGAGGGAATCGACGCTGCTGGAGTCCACATGAGACTTGATGAAATTGCAGGCAGCCTGTGAAGAAACAGAAGTTATCTGACAGTAACAGTCTCAAAGCCACCAAGAAGAGATTTAAATGGTACTCTGAGACAATTTCATACATGCTGCTGTGCATTTTTAGACTGAACAAAAGGCAAATTAAATCCGTAGGAATATTTGCAATCCTGCTCTGCACAGAAACAAAGTGGTTCCTGCTAAAAGAGAGAAGTGATTTTCACAGAAACTGTACTGCAACCAGAATTCAGATTTAAATTTGAGTATAACTCTCAAACCCATCAAAATTGAAGGCCTGTGGGTATACTTAGTCAGGAAAATCTCCCAGGCTAGAGAGCAGGTGAACAGGAATTCTGTGGGTGAGCTTCCTTCCCAAATATACAACACACACAATCATTAATGGAGGCAGAATGTAGAGTTTCAGAGCATAGTCAGGTAAAGCAGCTACAGTGTGAAGGCAAGCAATGAGACTGCTCAGTAATCTATAGACAGGTTATTAACCGAACACTATATAGATGGATCATTAAAATTGCATTTTAACCAGGAAATAACCAAGAGTTTAATTGCTCATACATAAATGACAGGGTTTTGAGTATGTGGAGCATAAGCCTTTAGAAGCAGGAGAGGATTTTCATGCTACAGTTACCCAGGAATACCAACAGATGTTCAAGTGTTACGCTTAGCTGTTATTTTTACTACATCTACCTTTTAGTCTCACCCCACTAAGAGGTACACTGTCCACAAAGAAAGCCTCATCACAAACCTCAAGCAACAAATAATTCCTTGTTACCTGCAGAAGCAAAGGCTACGTTATCACTGCCAAAATTAGGAAGTACTAAAAAACCCAGCCAGGCTGACATAAACGAAAGCAGCAGCTCTCAGCCTTGCCTTCAGGAGACCAGTAACCACCACAGCAAAGCGTGCAGTGGTGAACTGCAACACCTTCAGGAGCATCACAGTTAAAGTTTGTGGTGTAAAGGCACAACACTCAAAGAGAAACAAAGTCCAAGTGGTTTAGAACTACTGAACTACCTGAATTTCTGAGGAAAGAACAGCCTTCCATTCACAGCTTAGGTGCACAGGTAACCACACGTGCACAGAAGCAGAGATGCCTACATAAGCAGGTTGTTACAAGGACAGGCTTTAGTAAGTTTAAACTAGAAATGTTTAGAAGCATGAAAGAGCTGTAAGCATCATGCTGATGCTGCAAGCTTTTCCTTCTAGTCTGTGCACACAAGAATATATTTTATATGCAAAAAGAATAAAACCATGGAACCTGGCAGAATTCAGTGTTAGAACTGGAATGAAATAACGAGAACTCCATTTAACAGGTCAGCAAAGCAAACACGCTGCAGGCAGAAATCTTTTGCACAAAACAGAAACAAATTGACAGTTGTAGCAATGTCACAACAGGCTACGGAGAGGCAAGCCCTGAAACCGCCATTTAGAGGCAGTAAGTGTAAGAGAGCCCCTGGAATGTTACAGCCCAGACAAAGATGCAACTTATTCCAACAGCACACCTTAAAAGCTGCCGGTAATCACCCCTGACTGGCGCTGATGCTTGCCAAGGACACCGCGCACACCTATCTGCCTACCGTTTCCCTCACGGCCCTCAAGCAGAGCTCGCTGCATAAATCACTGTGCCTCGCGTTGTGCAGCACCTCAGCGCAGCCAAGCGCTCACCTTTTCGTCTGCCACCCGCACACCCAGGCTGGCGAGGCCCACGATGGAGTAGAAGGCGGCCTCCACGTCGGCGAAGGGC